GGTGCATAATAATAACTAACCTAGATTTCAAAAGAGGGTAGGGCCATGGTCGTTATCCTTGCGCAACGGCTGCCAAGCAAGAGGAAAAAAACTGCGGAAGACGAAGCCGTGACCTGACTTCCGAACGAATGTCCTTATCCCGATGTCCGATCGAGCAGATTTGCATTGTCCTCGTGCTCATATCCTGGCAGGGGAAAAGCTGATGGGAAACTCGCTTCCCGATGTGGGAAGTGAGGACACTTCCGATTCGCTCAATATCAACAACTTCATTGTTTTGAACTAAAAGTCTGACATCGTCGTATAATGTTGAACATTATAGGTTTAAATGTGGTCAAGAATGGTACAAGGTACAACAGCGATGACGATAAACGTTCAGATGGAAATCCGGAAAGTAACGCCTGAATCGTGCTGAATTAAGATAAACGTTCACATAGCATGGGCCTTAACTTTCATTTCTGCCATGAAAATGGCGATAATGGTTAGATCTGAATGACCGATTGCCCATGAATTAGTTGACCCATGTGCAATTATTGGTAGCCCTATATTAGTGGAATGAGTCAGTTAAAGGTTATGCCGTGTGATTAAATAAAATGCAGAAGAATTCGCTGCGGGCATGCGGACACAGAGGTCAGCTGGCAAACTTGATCGTCGGCCATTAATATTATTAGTACTTAAATGAGTCTTCAACTTCAGGTCTATATATAGTTGAACTTCATTTCTCGTCCCTATCGCCACTTCAGTAAGAATGATGTAAAATAACATTTTTTAAACAACTACGGAAATAATGGGTGGTTAATGTACAGACAATGATAGACCGTACAAGACGTGCACCGAGTCAAATAAAATAAATCAGATACAGATTATCAGCGGCTATATATTGACGGCCAATAAAGCCAACCCGATGAAAATTATTTGTTGCATGCTAATTCAGCGTCGTGCATGATAGATATCATCCTTAAAATAATAGAATCCCGTTATCTCAAATACCTTCTTTTCAGTAAATAAATTTGAAATTGAATACGTGCGCATAATACGTGTTTTTAGCGTAAATATCCCATTTAACTCTCAATTTTAAAATCTAGGGTAACTACATTTGTATTTTGAGAAAATTTTTACTCTACCAAACGAAACATTTCTGTCATGTAATTATGTAATTCACCCCCCATTCCCTCGGTATTCTCTTTATTATTATTATATTAAATATATTTATATTATTATATTAAAAAAAATAATTTACAGGTCAAGGTAATATCCCGACTCTGTTGGTATAATGGATACATGCTCAAATATCCCTTATTTGCATGTAGGAGCGCCATATGCTTCCTATACCAACACCCACACAAACTTTCCCGCATATTTAGACTACATTGTTAACCCGGCTTTACCCGGTATCGATAATCTATGTAATTTTAGAATCCCCTTATTTTGTCATTCGGATCTCTTAATCTCGAATCCTGTTAATAATTGAGCTAATATATGATAGTATAAGAATAACTCACTAAAAAATGCATTTTTTGCTGAACACAAAACTTTCTTCTGGAGCATGTATCAAATGGGAAAAATTATTTTGCGCCTGGAGAAAGGAATGTACTCGAGTACATAGCAATGTAAAAATTTAACTCCAATTATTCATACAACCCTTTCATTTCATTCTGGATACGCGCCCAAACAGCCTCAATAGTATGTGCGGTACCAAACGCACACAAACTCTCCCATCATAAAATATATCGTTGGAAATCATCAGCTATTATCAGTCTTGAGCGAATCATGAACCAGTGGTCGGGCGATCGTGCAGGTTTTCATTTGATACCAGACACAATGAATCACCGGCGGAGTAAATGCGAAACATTTTGCAATCGAGTTTTTTGTTGTTAAGCTTGAAAATATATTCATATTAGGCTAAGTTTGTGCATATCAAAAACGGAAAATTATATTCTAAAAATTTTTGCTTGGTAAAACCGAAAACTTCAATTAAATGTTGGGAACTTTTTCTGATCGTGCTATTCTGACCTTTCATTTTAATTTTACTTTACTATGTCGCTCTGAATCCTTCCTGCTCACTGATAACGCGAATCTAAAGTATTTTAAGTGTTGCATGATTCGGTTTTATTAAAAATTCGTGCCGCCCGTATCTTGGATTGCCGCCATTGAAATGTCTGCTCGTATTTGATCACATGACTGAGCCAGCCGTGACCTTCAGGCTTACGAGTGAATATCTTCTCCCTATTGAAAAATATCGACGATTCTGTGCTGTAATAAATACATCAGCATCATTCTACATGCTAATTTTAAATGAATTGCCTTCTACAATTTACGGAAGAGTAAATGGTTCAATGATAATTTAAATGAAAAATTGATTAATTTTAAATCAATATGTAGAATAATAATCAAATTAATCAGAATTAAAAAAACGTTACTTAAAAAGTTAAATAAGATCAGTTATGGTAATTTTGGATTCATATTAAGACAAATCGACAGTTTTACACACGGATAAGTATCTATCACACGTTCAAATCTCGCACTCCTTCATTCTGTATCCTTTTGGTAAGAACGCATAACGCTCGAACGCCTGTCAAGGACATTCGCTAACAGCGGCCCTAACGTCATGCTTCGTGTGCCGCAATTTTGACATGAAAGGCGTTCTCTCTTCATGCTGCGCATGCACCCTTCATGTCGCATGCATCCTTGATTCTGTATGCATGCATCCTTGATACTGCATGCACCCTTCATGCTGTATCACCCTTCATGCCGCATTCACCCACAATCAAGCGCTCCTTGCATGCGCCAGCTAACCCGATAAGCGCTTGTATCTTAATTAAGCTTTCACTCTTCATTGCGCATGTACTCAGTATCTGAGAAATTACCATAATCTTGCTCTCTTAATTTTAATTTCGTACAATCTATCTAATTCGAGCATTCACTCGTCTCCAGACTTATGACATTTATCGTGAATTTGCTTCTTACAGTTCGAACATTTTCTTGCTTTATATTTGGTGTTTACTCAGGTGCATTTTTGTTCTAATTTGCCCTCCATTTTACATGTACCTCCAATTCTGAATTACTGCACGATTATTCATTTTCACAATATTGTGATTCAAAACTCTTTTATAATTTTCTTTCAATTGTGCATTCTTGATTCATCAATTTGCAGTCTTTCGTGCATTCTTTGTTTCGAATATGATCATGTCGATCACTGAATTATTTTTTCACTTATAATTAGCAGTTGTTAGTGTGCAAAACAAATAAGTCCCTTAATTTTCAACACAAATTAAAATTTAATCTATATTCTCGAATATAAAATAATAAATTTCCTTATGTAATCTCATGTCAATAGAAGCCACCCGCGACTATACTGGCTTGAGCAGGAAACGGAAATTTTTGTCGTTACCCCGTTGAAGTTAAGTTATGTTGAAGATTTAATATCCCTGGACGTTACATGCTCCGGAGTAAATGTTTTGTTGTTTCAAGCCAAAAATTTTAAAGGTTAAAAAATTGAATCAGGAAGCACGCATTTTCTTTCATTATTCTTCGATGCGCCCGCATTGTTCCGTGTTCCGAAGAGCCATTCTTGTCGATTTCGCCGATCAAGGATATGGACGCACTAAATGATGCGCTGTGCAATCCGCACACCACGCGTAAAAGGAACAAAGGAGTCAAAAACAGTCGGGGTATCGCAAATACGGCGACTTGGCATGGGATCACACCCTACAAGAACTCTAGTCTAGGTATAAAAAAATTTTATTACACTCAATTCGTCGAAAATTCGTAACTAAAATATAACTGACATTCCTAGAACGAGCCTGAAATTTTCGATCAAATTGTAAACAACCTACACTATAAATTTATATATATTTTTAATTTTGTGATATTGCGAGAAAAAAATTCCAAAATTAAACTCTAATGCATCCTTTTACTAAAATATCAGGACAGTTCACATATCAACATCCGTATTCTGTCGTTGGCTTTAGAATTAATAATAGAATAGAATAGAAGTGTCGGCACTGAAGAAATAGGCCCATATGGCCTGTTCCCAATTCTTTATTTTTTCGTTTTAATTCTTTAATTTTTCGACTTGATTTGTGAGAGATCCGGCCTTTGGAACCCGATCTTTCTATAACTGACGATTGATTTGAAATTATGGTATTTTTGTAGTTGTTGAGTAAGAGTATTGCGAACGGTTTAGGCTGTGCACTGCAGGACCGACTTCCTTGTATACGTAACGTAGACTCCGTCAATGCAGAGGCGCGGCCGCCGTCTGTTGCTTCGCTTGTATCTTTTTTACCGTCCGTGGACAGATACACGAGAGCGAGGTCACGGTCAGGATTCGCAACGCGTGGCTTTACAGCTGGACCAATCAAGAGCTCCCTAACTGTTTTTTGGTAACATTACTGCGCTTAATACGTTGTAAAACGAATACAATGAATTTGTACATTTGACAAAAAATTTGAAAAATTACTTATATTTGGTTGGTTGTGTTTTAGCGTTTTATTCTTTGTTCGAACGAAGTCTCGATTCCACGGAAACCCTCTGATATTCGAATGCCATGAAACAATGAGTAAAAATATACATTTTTCCATAATTTTATGAAAAATATGAAATCCATTTTTTTCAATCTATCCCCTCTAAAACGTCGAAAAACATACAGGGTTTCTTACGTCAGAAGACAAAAAAAAAATAAATAAATAAACAGGCAAATTCTCTAAAATTCGTTTCGAAGAACGGCATCTTTCATGTTGACATTCCTTCTGTTCCGATAAACACAGCGTCTTTTTGAACAGAATAATTTATGGTTTTGGTCAGAATTAAGAGGAAGTAGCACCAGAACAACACTAGTAATCATATAATAAATTTAAAATTGTTCCTAAAATTGTGAAAACTTTTGTTAACTAATTCGTAAATACAGATTTTCAAACATAGACCGAAATTATTTCGTAACCATTCTTGTATATTTGCATAAAGTAATAAAGTATCTTAGTCTTTCATCAACAAGGGCTACTCACCAGGTTCCGTTGTGGTGCCGTTGATTTCATAGTATTCCGTCCGTAGAATCCTGTATTGCAATTCACTAGGTCGTCTTATGGCGCGATCAGAGAATATATTTCCAACTTGTCTGCGTGGAGTGGTTTGTTTTCTCACCGCCCTTTTGATAGCGTGGTTGCTGTTGATATTTTTGGTATTCATGACACTTGGTTTATGATTGTAGTGGTTGTCGTTCACGCGGAGGTGAAGGGTGTGGTGGGATAGACGATGATGACCGTGTAGTAATGATTCAAGATTCCTCGGTGGAGCTCGAGGCGAAGGATCATTTTCAGTCGTGAGGTTTGCAATTTTAGAGGGCATTAAGAACCGGGTTTGGATCCCTGAGGCACTTTTATTCAGGATTTGGGCTGTTTTCGGAGTGACTTTTTTATTTTTGCTTTGTTAACCATATTTTTCTTTGGTAATCATTCCCGACGATCTTCTGGCTTGCACGAAAATACGATGCTATGCGATTTTCTGGCAGATGTTGTTGTAATTTTTTAAAACTTTTTTTCGATAACAAATTTTCCAGAATTCAAATTGGTGATAAAATTTAGCTTAATTTCTTGACTCCAGTTGAGCACGTTAGAACATGCTGCTAATTTAGAAATTTGAAATAGGTTTCTCCCAATAGTGCTTGATCATTGTGTTTATTTTCTTTGAAATCACTGAACCTGCGTTCTTCCTCAAAAATAACTTAACTCGGTGCGTGACTTTGAGAGGTCACCGGATTTTGCAGCGTTTCTTTATTTCATTTTTCCTCTCTTTCTCCGTTTTTTATTCGTAATCATATTCCTGCATCACCAGTGCATTTTTGTGCATGTGAATTACTGATGTTTCTAGTTTTTGCCGCTGCCACTTAACTGGCATATACTGTAGCAAACGTAACAGCGCTATCATTCGAGGTAAATGAATATTTCACTGCGAAACGACTTCGAGTGCACATTTGTGTTACGATTTGTTGCTTTAAATTTTTTTAACGAAAATTAAACACTGATATACATTTCACGAATTTCGCTGATCTTTTAAAGATGATAACTTGATTTCGTTTAAAATAGTAATTTAACTGAAAGTTCCCTGATTATTTCGGAATTTTTCTTGCAACAAACAATACAATGTTTTTGATGGCATTATAGGATTATTTTACGTTAAGATGGCTTATTCATGACACTTAATTATCTTGCATTACTAAATCTCACGAAACACATTATTTTCATCCATGAAATGTATGAAACTTAACGTGAAGATTATGTGGTCACCGTCTGTATTCGACTTTGCGTCCGAGTCACTGCTTCCGATGTTTGCCTTGCATCCCTGGGTGGGTGGAATAGAACAGTATTAGTTACAATTACATAAGTGTTTGTAGAATAAAAACCACAGACATAAATGAAATTAAACATGTAATTATGAAAATTAGCTTTGAAAATTGACTTTCTAGCACAAGTTTTTGGGTTGGCAAAGAAATTACACCAGATTTTGTGGTTGTTCGCAGTGTTATCGTGAACTGGTGTTATAATATCATGCACTTTTGATAGACTAATTAATTCGCTGATTAATTCGCTATCAAATGTCATCTGATATGTACGAATGTAGAAATTCTTGATGAAATTATTTATAACAAATATGCAGATTTAATAAAAATAATTAAATTTTCTATAAATGACGTAATTCACTCTTACATCAGGACTAATCCATTACTAATGGGCACCGTGCGGATTACTGTGAGAAAATAGCAAGTGATTCTGTGGATTTAGGATTCTGTGCACGAGCAGAGTGTTGGATCTCTGTCAATAGAATTCAGGATGATTTAATATAAAACTATGATCAGGATGAAAGCCACGAGGTGAACGTACCCCCATACTAAGGCCTACAGAATGATACTTGGGTTATTTGCGGGCTGTTTTTAGATACGTGTGGAAGATTTGACTCAGCTCTATAGTTGCTATCAGAGATTGCCTTATCATCTATCTTATATACAACTGAGTACTCCGTGAACATTCGTGCTCTGAGTCTTATAAAATTATTTGTTGTGTGGGATCAACTATCAACGGTGAGTTAGGTCTGCAAACAATTAATGCCCAGGTGGTAATTAGTTTTTCGTTAGAATTGAAATTACGTACCAGTATTCTGTGGATTTAGGATTCTGTGCACGAGCAGAGTGTTGGATCTCTGTCAATAGAATTCAGGATGATTTAATATTGAATTATGATCAGGATGAAAGCCACGAGGTGAACGTACCCCCATACTAAGGCCTACAGAATGATACTTGGGTTATTTGCGGGCTGTTTTTAGATACGTGTGGAAGATTTGACTCAGCTCTATAGTTGCTATCAGAGATTGCCTTATCATCTATCTTATATACAACTGAGTACTCCGTGAACATTCGTGCTCTGAGTCTTATAAAATTATTTGTTGTGTGGGATCAACTATCAACGGTGAGTTAGGTCTGCAAACAATTAATGCCCAGGTGGTAATTAGTTTTTCGTTAGAATTGAAATTACGTACCAGAGCTTGGTAATATTTTCGTGTGATACCTGAACAATAATGATCGCGGCTGTAATGGAATTGATATCAAGGCTTGAACTGTAAATTCTCATGCAATGCTCGGAAGGAAATGACCGTCAAATCCCATTATTTGCATCATGGTGGAATTAAGAATTCATTATTGTCTATATTCAGTAATAATGCAACGACAATTTTACGAACTACTCAATTATAGTAAACATTCAATAACCATTCTAAGACAGGCTATTATTGCTTTTCGAGTACAACGAACATATCTGTGTCACTTTAACTTCGTAGATGTTAATCGGAAGGTAAATTCTAAGAATAGACGAATTTCTCGATTCTTTATTATAGTCGAGTCAGCCCTTCTATTATAGTCGAGTCAGCCCTTCTATTATAGTCGAGTCAGCCATTCAACAAAAACAAGTCGCAAAAACAATATTCGGAAGCAATTGTGCTCCGTTTAGTGAAAAATCTGGTGTTTGCTTCGTGGTGTTTGCATGATCTTCCATGGTTATATTTATTACGTTTGCATGAAAAATCTGGTGTTTGCATGATCTTCCTGAAAATATTACTATGAACAATATTTTTCATATGTGAACAAGAGAATTCTGCAATAAACCCATGAGGCATCGAATCGCCGTCATCACATTTTGCAATATTGTTGTTTTTTTATTACGTTAAAAGTTCACCAACATGTTACGAAATAAATTGTGCCCAAGGTGATTCGTGGTGGCAAGATTTTATTTTTTTATGTATGTTAGTTTAGATATTTCTTTAGATAGTTAGTTTAGATTAGATTAGTTAGTTAGTTTAGATAGTTTAGATTAGATTAGATAGTTAGTTTAGATATTTATGTTAGTTTAGATATTTCAGTTACGTGTACGATGACTTGCTCTATTTATCTTATAATAATCAATAATGAAGTCAAGTTAGTGCATTGAAACTCAGGTTACTGTGTTCAAAGAAATGTCGATTGAAAACGAAAAAATAAAAGCATTCATATAAAGGCATCATTCAATAAAAGGTGCCAAATATGACTTTCTAACATTGCTGTAACATATTTTAATTGCACAATAACAGTATCATCAATTAAGAATAACTGTGTTTATACAGCGCGCTATATCAATTACTTACTCAATTTATAAATAAGACAATAATCGGATGAAGCGCGAGGGGAAAATTCAGTACGGGACGATAAATGCGACGTGTAACAATTTCCTAATGCTATTTTGCGTGACTGAACACTATATAACCAGTGCCACTGAGATGACTGACGCTGTCGTGGCACTGGCACTGCTAACTATGGTGTCAGCTGATAAGCTATCCACCTGTGTGACGATATCTGGTCATAGTGGTCATTACTTGATGACCTTCATCTATTTCGTTAATGAAGTGTATCTCTGTGGAACGTTTCACGAGTTTCTATTATAGTGAGGAATGTTTACAGATTAATCGGTTGACGTTTAATTGCAGCGCAGACAAAATTTCACGAGTTTTTGACGCAAATCACCGCGTTATAGACAGCAATTTATTTCTTCAGACCGGGAATTTCTTGAGATAAGGTAATAAAATAGATAGGCGGAAGCCTGTCAGTCTAACAAAATTTACCGGAGGCCTGAGGATTGCTGGCTTTGCTTCCTTGTTTCATAATATTTTTTATTCGGTTGCTTTACATGTTTGTACACGATAATTTTTCCAGTACATCATTTTGTTTAGGCCACCCTCTGAATTCAACGAGAACATTATAATAAAGATCGTATTTTTTATTCCAAGTTTATTTTAATTCCATGTCGGTACGGTAATTTTAAATTTTATTTGTAAACGTATCTACGACTTTTTGTTTAGGAGTTATTTGAAAGCGGTTCTTCTACGGTATTAACGTAGCCGGTTGCTCATTTCGTTTTTGAAGCGGGCACGTTATTCGTCAATTCACAATTTAGAAGTTTTTGGCCTCGTGGACGAAACTAAACGTTGGTCCTAAATACATTCCATATATTTTTGTCTTGGTTCATTATTGGACTTGTTTCTCACGACTTTCGTTAATTTCTAGCTAAAATTATTGTATTACATTGTGGTATTACTATCCAAAATTAAGTTATTTGCAGTTTCATTAAAAACTTCCTCATTTTCAAATTATAATTAGATTTACGAATTTAAAAATTAAATTTATATTTTTGATCAGATCTCCTTCTTCAAGTTTACCAATGCCTCGCGACTGTTTGCGCTTCAATTAATTTCGTAGAATTATTCCAAGTTATTGAAATTCGGTTCTTACGCCCCACTCTTTCTTGTCGTCAATTAGTAATTGAAGTTGTAATTGTTACTCAATTCAGCTTTATTCTTTAGGTCCACGCACGAGACGTCTCCGAGTGATGAATCATCATAGAAGTTTTGGTGAGTAAGTAACCAACGCTAACATTTCAGGTTGAGTGTGAACTTTGTACATAATGTTAGAATAAAAAAAATTACCATGATTGTGATATTTTTTAGTATGCATCATAAAAATTATGGAAGCTAACACTTCTCTTAATTACTACCTTTCCAACTATCACACATCAAGTAAATTTTGCTATCTGTGCAGACGAAATTAAATATTTAGTGGCACACTTGATACTTAATTTCCATATTTTCAACGTTTTAATGTATATATTTTTTCTTAATAATCGTATATGATCGAATCGAATATCAATGAACGCATGCACATCTTCTAAACTTCCCATAAAAAATTAAATTTGGAAAAAAACAGCGTAAGTTTTAATTTTATTTGGGACACTCAATATTTTAGAATCATTGCCATTGTTTCAGATATGAACATTTCTGAGTGAAAATTTCAGTTTTAAACTCAAACACAGCCATTCTCATTTAAAAGTTATTGTTAATTTAAATTTTGTTATTTTTTTGTTTTCACCTAATAATCAATCAGAGCCAGAATTTCTGTTCTTTATCGAAAACTTTCTTCGTGATAGAAATTGTTTCGACATCAGAGTCCCACTCGTAAGCAGCATACCGACTGATAGCTGATAGTGCTTACTTTATGCCTTAGGTTCTGTAATTACGTCGTTGCAACGTAGATCATCCAAGAACACCTTCACAAAGTTAAGCTAATGTATATTAATGGATATGACTTAAATTAAGAGGGATATCAACTTCCAGCCACAACCATCAGGTAGCAATCTCATTATGGTTACATTATTTGTCACTAATTTGGCACGTAAATACCTAGATTGGTTTTGTATACATTGATTTCAATTACCTCGCTACGTGTAAGCACGGCAGTCATTTAATTGGTTTTATATACAGACTGCACATAGTTCTCAGTTGTCTGACTACGCGTGAGCGCGGGAGTCGCATTGTTGGTTTTGTTTTCAGTCTGGCCACTGTTGTAAGGACGGGAGTCACTTCGTATGAGATGTAAACAGACTTGACATTATTCACAGTTAACTGGCTACGAGTTGAGTTCATGTTCACACTGTACTCACTCTCCTCATTAACCTAGCAGCGTGTAACAGGATGGAAATAACTGTTTTTTACTTAACTCATCACACTTCCATTGTTCACGGGACTATAGCATCTTCATTACTGAGAGCATATTTGATAATTTAGTCAGTGTTGCAACGATGAGGTATGACCAGGATGTATTGTGACTATATATATCTGGGCATCTAATTTCGACTCACGAATGTCAAATATATTGTGATTCTGTGAGCTTCTAATGATTCAAATAAAGAACTTAACTCTGTCGAAAGGCCTTTTAATTATAGGGATATTCGTGAAGCCAACATTTCGAAACACCTCGGATTTCAGTTCAATGATGCTCGAAAAATTATTGTTTCCTCTAACGGCGGAAAAATTCTTAGAATTGCATAAAAATGCGTGATTTGATCTAAAAAAATGCGTGATTTGATATTTTCGGTAAGCAAGGTTTCGGTAAGCAAGTCAAACACAATCAAACTTGATTGCGTTAAACTCAGAAAATGATATGCAGTATTTCTTATAATTTTTGCGTAAATTATACTAGTTTTATTTGACTGAGATTGAAGATTCAAGATGAGATTGAAGTAAGCAAATTAATAATGCGAAATATGATTAATTACAACGATCAGAATCTCTTTATAGTGAGCATCTCACACCGAGGTAAATGTGCCGTCTCATAAGAGGTTACATGAGCACACTTCTTTATCGAGCGGAAGTCGTTCACATACGTCCCCTTACAATACACGCGATGTACAGATAAGTGATCTCTCATTTTATCTCTATCAGAAATTACTGCGTACTTGGTAACGAGTTCGCTCACCTCGTTAGCGAAAGTTCAACTTTCACTGTTTGCATCAATACATAAAACGGTCTCTTCAGGCTGTGAATTCAAGCCAAGAAATAATAACTAAGTAAATAAGAAATTAATAAATATTCTGAGGCCATGCGACGGATTTTTTATTGCGGATATTTAAATTTATTTTAGAAGCCAGGAAATTTCCCTATTTGTAGTAAGGAATGTAGTGAGAATGTCATTAGATAATCTAGTGCATAAATAATTCTAGAAAAAAAAACGCAATTTTCTGAATGATTTTTCTCATTCTTTTTAGCGCATTTTCTCATTTATGAAAGAAACACTATTGTGCTCGCTAAGTCCGTCCGTTCGTCTGTCCGTCCGTGACTCCACGTTTTCGTCGACAAGAAAATGCGCTCTCTGTCACTCACTGCAGTGAGTACTGAGTTATATTTTTTAGTGTGAAGCCAAAATTTTAAATGTGTTTTCATATTAATGTTTGCATCCTCCTTGTTTCAATAAAGACAATTTGTATTCATCGAAATGCCGTGTCGTGTTTAGCGCGTTCGACAGCTTATATAAGAAGGGGTTGACGATTATATCGCCAGTGTTGATGATTTTTTGCCATCATTCATAGATTTATTTATACGTGAACTGATGAATTAATAATAGAATTAATTTAGGGCTGACGTGGCAGTACCCATTTTTATAAAATAAAGTAAAATAGCAATTTATCAATACAATAGATTGATAAATACAATTATTTTTAATTAGTGAGTAAACAATTTTGAACGTACCTTATAACTGCTCACCTTGAAGCTCCCGGACCTGAGGAGGATGAAACCGGCGCGCCGGTTGTCGATGTCGGCGGCGGTTGAAATCGCTGCGTCGGTACGCGGGTTTTTTTACCCGTCGATTAATTCTTCATTTTTATCTGACGATTAATTTGTCACTCTTTTTCAGGCGGGATGAATTCTTTTGAGATGATTTCACCAACGCAGTGGTCAACGGTTGAGCATTTGATCGACTCTGTTGTGATCGTTGCCATTCCAGTATTCCTTTTACAGTGCACCGTGGATCTTCTTAGAAGTATTGAAATTAAATCTAAACTGAAGATCGTCGAGGCTTCGTTGTTTGTTCCTGTGCGCTCTATCTCTATCTTGTCAGCATTGTTCGAAAATAACAGTGAATTTTGGCTTTTGAGGAATTTTTCACAACTAACTGTCACATCACATGAAGATAACTTTATCGCTGAATAAAACTTACTATTGTACGTTGAAATCAGAACAAATGCTTTGCGATCATCCACAGTTATGAACACCATTAAATGTAAAAGGTATCAACTTTGATATTCATACTTGGGTCGTACATTTGCACTTTGATTTTTACATATCATGAATCGTTGCAGCGATGGAGTCGAGTGACACGAATTCGATGGAGGTATTAATGACACGCTCTCCAAACACTGTAACCACGCCGGCCAGAGCTGAACTGAGGCAACGATGCTATGGTCATAGCGAGCAAACCAAAGACTGAGAGGAAGAACCAAATAAAAAATACAAGAAATAATCGAAGGAAGGCCAGGAAGAAAAGCCGGTGCCTGCGGGTTGGTATCTTTCTACCTGCGCTCTCGTGGGAACGCGCCTCGCAGCCGGGCTCCTTCCTTCTTGAGCTGAGGATGCGGAGCTTTTGAAAGATGTTTTTGAGAGAGCGTGTCATTGCGTTCCATCAGCAAAATATACTTGGAAAATAGCTTGAGAATATCGTCAAATAATACTAAAAAAGTCGTATTATATCTTGGTCTAATTCCGGTTGAATTTTTCTTAACATTTGATAACTCATGAGTGTGTGGAGCGTTTTTAAAAATCATTAATTAGTTCAGCATCTTCAAAAGCTACATCATATGGGCGTGTAATCGGTTGAATTATTATATTTAATTATAATCTTGTGCTATTATCCGTTGTATTATTGTCCTCTATTATCAGTGGTATTATCTTGTACATTATCTATCTGATCTTGTATTGTCATCAGTTTTATTATTATCTGATGCCGAAAGTTGCAGCCTCTTCCAGGTGGTGTGCTGATAACATAACATAAAATAAAATAACGTAATAGTGATGTCGCGCTAAGGAGTAGGCCTGATGTGGCCTATCGCCGATACTTTTCCTTTTCGTGCCTTGTTCACAGAAGATCTAAACTCGTGTCATTTGACCGGATCTTTTCATGACTGGCGATGGTTTGAAGTAGCTACTAGACTTCCACCGGGTTCTATATGGTGCTAGGCATTTCAAGTCTGAACATATATTTTTCCATAGCTTTATCTAGTCTGGTCTGTTCTTGAACGCGTTCATACTTGGAGCGCCAACGATGTCATCGGGGAGGCTGTTCCACATGTCGGTGATTCGAAGCGAGAAGAAATTTTGTCGCATGGTGAAGTTGCAGCGCAGTTTTTTTAGTTTATAGCCGTGGCCCCTGGTGTTGGTTGGTTCTTGTTTCAAAATCTAGTAACCCTTCGCCAGTTCGGGGACTTAGATGAACCGACGATGACAAAATTCAGAAATGTATTCTTATTATCTGATTATCTACTTACTTTTTTGTTAAATATAGGAATAATGCACCATCATTTAATTAAGCTGTAACAATTGTTTTTAACAATCGGTTTCCACCACAAACCTAATTTTTTAACATCAGGTAGATTTCGTTGTTCGCCTCCGGCCGAGAGTCAGAGGATTTTATAAATTTTAAATGTTGAAGTTTCGGAAGTTCGGCTTGACAATATTTAGCCTGGCTATTTTTTTTAAAGCTTTAGTTTTTTATTCCACCTTCTCATCATTTCCAGAACAGTTCGGAACATCATTTCCTCAAAAACCCAGAATTAGCTGATAAATAGATGACTCTGTACAACTTTTCCATCAGAATATGGATGTGGTCCATATGTGGTAATTCAAGTCTTTTTATTTTATTTTCATCGTATGGTTTGCAAATCATTAATAAGTTATTTTTAAAGCATGATAGCAATCATTACATTAATAAGTTATTTATAGAGCATGATAGCAGCAAAAAAGTTCTTTTTTCAAATTGAATATCACATTATTTTATTTGGAAATGCATCAGTCCTAGGCTGAGCGAAGGCTTGCATCCAAGCCATTCCAAAAAATCTTCCAAACGTACAAACAACGACGTTTAGGACTAATCATTCAACATTTTAGAATCTCAGTTGAGGGAGTGTAATGCAAGGTTCAGCAATTGGTTAACCCAGGGACGGATGGAAAGACAAGATTGACCAGATTTTTATTGGAAATGATTTAGGATGGGCAATTATACGCTACTGGTTACAAGAACATCTTAGACCAGAGGCACGAATTTCCGACTGCAGGGGCTAGTGACATAGAGGGTCTGATATTCACATGCATTCGGGGACAACTCTTATGAGGAATTTACAAGGTTCCATGAATTTCAACGGGTTATACAAAGGATGCATTAATACGGCGCTGATATATCATATCGTTGGTGATACAATCGAATTATCCTGGTGAGGAAGCCTTAGAAGGATATATTGTGATCAGACGTGTTGAAGGATTGAAAATTGCGTCTTGTGTATAGACGCATCAAATCAACAGTCGTCCCTAGCATACAGCCACGCCGATAATACAATGGTATGTAGAGAATCATAAGTAATCAGTAGAGTAGTAATTAATAATAATAATAATAATATGCTAGTGCCTCAGACTACTTTTAAAAGAGAGCTCCTAACCGTAAGACAAAAGCAGTTACAATAAAAAGCTGAGTTCAGTTTTGACAGTACGAGTAAGAGATCAGAGATTAAATTAAACTGAGCACGACTATTGATCCATTCTCGCCAAAATAAAATACTGAACGAAATGGCATCCGTAAGTACGAGACAGGACATGTAGAGAACTCGATCACTTATCAGACCAAAACAGGTAATTGGTTGTGGGTTGTTGGCTTCAATGTCTAATGAGTAATATTGAGTATTAAGATGGATTTGGAAACGTAATGAGTGAAACATAAGTTACACGAGGTATTCATAGCAATATCTTGATTAATACATCGATTATGAGCTGCAATGAGTTATTTAGTAATTTACATATAGTACTTACTATTATTACGTTCTAAGCTTACATTCCACACTTGTCATGAAATGTTCAATGATTTTGTATTATTAATGTCCCAACATCGCTGCTAATGTCTCCAAACACGAATAAGAGAGAGAGACGTTGCGATCAATGATATTAGGTCTACTATTTTTTTTTGATGAATTGTTCCTGATTTTTTACCGCGAATTGTTCCTGCAAGAAGAAATGTGGTAGACGTGGCCTCCAATTAGGGATAAGGGCTGGAAGGTAAAAAAATAAACATACAATTATTTCTTTACAGCAATACAACACGAAAGAGACAAACGTCTAAGAAGAAAAATTAAGAGGGATAACCTATAGATAACTTAGTACCAAGAGCTTAGACGTGGCGAACATTCCGCATAAGGGAAAAAAACAGAACATTTATTAGGAGAGAGACTCGATAAATTAAAGGACAGAATGTGAACATGTTAAAACGAAATATGAAAGCTCAGACGAAAGTTCACTATATGAAATTGTTAAATCATTTGAGTCTTATGGAGACGAAACTACGCACTCGACTGAACAAGTGACAGCTTTGTATAGACGAATAGAAATAATAGATAGTCACTACGAGCGCTTAATAGCTATAGACATACAAAAGCTTTATACACGATAGCAACTAAACTGGGATCTGTCTATGTCAGTAGAAATCAATTAAATTTAAGTGATCATGAGTTGTAAAATACAGTAATGGCTATTACACTATCCATTAATGTTACAGTCTTAAATGTTTCATATCATTTTCATAGGTTCATCGAGACGAGTGCTGGGAAAGTAAACCTTAAGAGAGACTAGAATATAGAGGCCAACGAGACCCTCAGAGCAGCACCGTTTCAAAACCGCAGCTATACGAGACTGAATATAACAAATTTACTTATGCTAAATACCTCGAATACTTTTTCTTCCGTCAGGAAATAAATACAACATGTAAACATTTACCGTAATTAAGAATAACATAGTCAATGAGTTACCGATAGAAATTGTAAGGATTAAAGGATTAGTCCGAAACGAAGATCATGGAGCGTGCGGGCATCAGACATACGGAGCGTTGCCGTTGTCGTCCCGAGGGTTGTTGCTCATCAGCGCAGATTTGGGCAGAGGTATTCGAGTGCTGCCTGATGAAGGAGAGCCTTTGTCATCGGGATCAAGATTCTTTGGCGTACCAAAAGACGAAGGCGAGTCCGGAGGTTGATAATTAAATGGTGACACGACGGCAGACTGCGGTGTTCTGAGGACACCGGCGGAAGCTCCATCCTCTTCACCATCCATGGTGGTGAATGACAGACCTCTGCCGTCACCAAGCGGGGCTGAGCTTCGTCCTTTTGGTGTGGACGCTCCGCTTCTGTCCACGGGGGTGCTCACTTCCGAGGGAGGTGAGCTCTTTGAATCGCGGCCCCGGAATCTAGAAAGTTTCAGACCCAGACGAGTTTTCGATTTTCCAGAGTCTGCTCGTTCCGAGTCCGATCGAGAATCCCCGCCAACTGTTAATTTTTCATACGTCGAGCTCCTTAATAAAGGCGGAGGAGAATCTAAGGCTGGGGTTTTATTTTTCGATTTGGAAATCCAGATTTTACCATCATTTTCCCTGGGTTTAGCTGTTGCTTGCGCTTTTTCTACTTTCTTCCACAAATTAGCTATTCTACTTGTTACGTCTTTCTTAACGGGTTTGCCACTTTTGGGATCTTTGTTCCACTCAGCCATGTCGTTGACTGTGGGAGGTCGCACATTACGCGTCAGGCTATAAGACTTCGAATGCTCGCTTCCATGTGACCCGTCTTGACTGGAGGGTCGAGATAAGGGCCTCATGCTTACTGCAGGACTCGGTTGTATCATGTCGCGCCTAAATTTTGGCTTGGCAGCAGACTTGGACTGAACTTCTTCGTCCTGATCATCTTTAGTGAATGTGTTTTGCCTCTTGAGGCCAAAAGCTGTGGCATGAGCTTGAGGTGGCTGACGAGTTTTAGGGGTTGCGCCCATGCGAGGGCTGGAGCCAGCGCTGGACGCTGGAGACGAACTGCTGCTGCTGCCACCCACTCGACCAACTTTCTGTCGCAGAGCCGACGCCCGAGTAGCGCGCGGTAACTTCGGGGAGCCAGGTTGAACTAGCGCTTGTGGCGGTGGCTGGTTTGAAACTTGTTTTGGTTGAACCGCAGGAAGAAACTTTTGTGTGGCTGTTAAGTTCTGAGTTCGCGGGGTTGGTTTGAAAGCTGTTGCGGGTGTTGGGACGGCACGAGTGTTGGCAGATCCTGCTTGCTGTTGCTGCGTGGGACGTACTGTGGCTAAAGCTTTGCTGACACCAGGATAAAGGGCTTTTCGCTTTCCACGAATGCCTTTGCCAGCAGCTTCATCTTCGTCTCCATCAGCGTGATGCTCTTCTCCAGGCTTAACGATACGGGGTCTCGAAGGCAGAGCTGGGCTCGTGGGAGAATTAACATCGAATGTGTTATCGTCTTCGTCACTCGATATGAGACTCAGCGTCTCGATGTCTAACATATTTTCTTGTGATAAGCCATGCATTAAATCAGCAGTGTTGGCCTCTCGATTTTCGTTGAGCGTACAAATCACAATATTTGCATCTTGGCTCAGCGCCTCAAGTTGTTCTGAGGTCAGGTCAAGCTCCGCACCATCTCTAAAATCTATCATACCATCTTCTTGGCATTGAAAAGGATCTACACTGCTCTCAATTGTGCGAGTTTGATACCTGGCGGGATTGTTTTGCCGCTTTTCTCGTAGTGATCGCCTCTGCGAGGGAGGGCAAGGAGGGTTCTCTACTGTTGGTGTAGTCGGGGAGTCCATGTCGACGCCTTCGCCATTAGCAGGGACACGTGGTTGGTAGCGTTCACTGTGCTCGGATCTTCGGTCATTCGGAGTCGGTCCACTCCCAGGAGCAGATGCGCCCCCAGCCTTTCTGGAATCGCCCATACTTGAGGTCTGGACGGTTTGTCTCTCTGTTTTTGTGAAGGTCCGAAATCTGTCGTTGTGAACTGCTTTCCTCAACATGCTCGGAGTAATTTGTGGTGAATGCCTTGCTTTATGTAAGGGAGAATCTTGAGGTAAATCCGGAATGTCATGAGGAATATCGTCCACTGCTAATTCAGTGTCAGTAGCTGGGTCATGATGTCCTAAAGTATCTTTATCAAGTTCAGTAACTTCTTGGCAAGTTGACGTCTCATCGCCGGCAGTAAGAGTAACACTGCTCATTTGTTGTCTCGCTTCCTTGCTGAAGAGTCGGGCAAGCTGATGAGCGGGAGCTTCGATGGCAGCCATCGCTTCTGATGGAATAGAAGAATTGAGGCTGGGAGGGCTGTGACGAGGATCAGCCACTTCACTCGTGATGGAGGCGACGCTGATCATAGAGCTCTCCATGTCATCCGCCTCCATAAACGCAGGAGGCACGACGTTCTCGAGATTACTGTGACAGGAGCTGGCCAAACTACTAGAGCCATTTGTTCCGTTAACGTCGGACATTTCTTGTTCGCCCAGAGCTCGACGAACCATCGTAGGAATGTGGCGAGTGTGTCGACATTCCATTACTCTTTTCTGGTGTCCACGCTGGTTATTTTCATCGTTCAAACTGGTTGACAAGGACAAGACAGATTCCATTGCAGAAGGCGCAACAACATCTTCTAACAACGCGTCAGAATTTATGTTCTGAGATATAATTGAAGCGTCGTCACTGCTGCGCGCCTCTATAGCCTGGATCTCGACAGCTTGAGCGACTCTAATGGCTTCTGTTGCGACGATCATCGAATCCGTCATAGATACGTCAGAACAAACTCCGTGGCCGTTGGCAATGGTTCTGCTCAGGGACACACGGGCGTCGTCACTTGACGATTGCAGACGATCTTCTGGTGATGATTTAGAAGAGCCAGATCTAGGCACAACCTCGGCAATGGGGGCTGTAATTGCTTCAGAGTTAGGTTCAGCCATTTCAGTTATATCGTCGATTATGCTGGATTCATTTTCATATGCTTTGGCGATAGGTGCTGAAGAGCTGAGCTGACTCTTCTCAGTCTGTTCCAAATCGGTTCTCAATTTGGAACTTTCCGCTTCATTGGGAAATACGGCCCCATTTGTATAGGTGGCGTTTGTAGGAGCAGCGGGAGCAAGTCGCAGCCGCTGCATAGGGACGCTGGGGATGTTGGAGCGGCCTGGAGAACGGCCAGGCGATCGACCAGGAGAGTGAGCCAGGCCGGGGATGCGGGAGCCAGATTTACCACGCTTGTTTCCCCGGCCTACATTACCTCGCGACGTCCGCTGTTCACTGCGAGGCATGCCCTGGTTAATGCAATGTTGAAGCAGCGCCTGTTCGCTGGGTGTAGTTTCCTCGGGATAAGACTCAACCGAAAGCGAACTCAGTGAAGAGTTACGAGAGAAACAGCAGGGTGTGTCCTCAACTCCAAAGTTTCGAGGCGCATTAGCATCAGACTGACCGCGCTTGGCTACTCTTGAGGTCTCACCATTCACGCCTTCAATGGAACTCAGAGATGATCTTCTTGATAGAACCGCAGGAGTGTCTTCCACATTAAAGGGCCGTGGCACTTCTTCAGAGCTCACGTTGGACTGCATCGCCAAAACCTGTTGATTTGTGCGACGCTGCGAAGCATCCGCAAGTCGGCTGGTCAATTGGCCTCCATCATCATCACAGGACAAGGAGCTGAGCGAATCACAACGCGAGAGATTGGCAGGGGTCCCTTCAGTTGCGTATCGCTGCACACGTTCAGTACGGCCAGAGCTGGCCTGATTTTTCCGGTGATCCTCTTGCTCGCACGAATCGACAGTGAGATCGCTGAGCGATGTGGCGTTGGAACAGCCAATCGGAGTTCCCTCAACGGCTCCCCAGTTCTTGACCTCCTCGCCGTTGTAGTCCTTCATTGCCGAGTCGTTAACGAGCGGCTTGATCTGAGAAGTGTTCACAGGACGCTCTGATGGAATGAGTTTGAAGGCAGGAGACACCCTGGCTATAGGAACAGGGCGATGCCGAGGCGATGCGTGAGGCGACGAGCCTGTTGAACCTTTCCTAGGCAGAGCCGAGGGCATGCCTGGGGCAGACGCACTCGAGGGAGAGAGAGGGAGACCCGAGGGCAGCTTGCTGGGTTGCGAGCTGCGAGGAATCCCGTAGTTGTAGCGGGGAGAAGGTGGCTTCCCTTTTATCGACTTCAGCTGTAAATGGAAATGTGTTTTAGGTTTCTTGTACGATAAAATTTTGTTCGAATTTTTTACGAGATTTCTGACAGGGCGAAATAATAGCCACTTGCGTAAACCTGTATCCGAACGATGAGTGCATCTCATATAGGTCATGTTATAAATATGAAATATTCACTTTCTGAGCTAAGAAATAAATTATTCGAGAACTATACACATTTTACAAAGAAATTCTATTTATCGATCCAGGTTTAAATAAAAATAACATAGCCTGTTCAGGAAATTTTTCATTACTACACAACAAAAAGCAACACAAAATTTAAATTTTTCTTCCAAATTACTAGTTACCCAGTTAAATTCAGCACTATTTTGAACTTGGTTAGTATGAGTGTATTAGAACCAGGAAAATTATAAGTACCTTATAAGTACCTTCGGCATGGCGGCCTGGATGCATCTATTGAGCATGCCTTCAGCGTCAGAGAGTTAAAATGAGCGTGTTAGAAGCAGAAAAATTATAATTACCTTTGGCATGGCGGCCTGAATGCATCTATTGAGCATGCCTTCAGCGTCAGAGGAGTCGGTGCTGTCCCCTTGCAGGAGCAGCCCATGGGAGGGACCGAAGGGCCGACGCCCAGCGCCTCTAACGCCTCCAGAACTACGCACCTCCAGGCTCATGTTAGACAAGTCGGACATGCTGCCCGCCTGCACAATATTATTATAGTTAACTTCATACCTCCAGGCTCATGTTAGACAAGTCGGACATGCTGCCCGCCTGCACAATATTATTATTGTATACTTCATACTGCGCCATGTATAGTTTGTAGTTATGTCCCATTCACGTCGGTTGCCGGGGAAATATACGACATAGATTTATAGTTACAAGCTTCATACATTTCTCAGTTGATTTGAAGGACATGGAAAAGAAGTCGCCTTTCTATAACAATCAAACGCGTTTTTAATTGTAATGAGTGCTAATAGGTCAATAGCAACAGAGTTTCATGTTTTTTTTTTTTATTATGCTATGAATACTATTGCAAATATTGTGGGTTCCTCTATAACAAACCATTCGTCGTCATTTATCATTCTGCCATAATCTGATGATAAAACATTATCTCCCCACACTCCAGAACATATACTGACTTTCTAAAACACACACGCAGAAATACTGTACACGAGGCGAACACTGAACCCTGCCTCGCGCTTCCGTCATTCCCCGAACAGTAACAAATATTACGACATGCACCGAAAATATCACGACATGCAGAAGGCCCCGACGTCTAACATATGCGGCGTGAATCTCAATTTCCGAACACAATTTAATATATTTTTATCCACTCACTATGCGCGTCAGCTCCCGCAGCGCATTTCGCAGGCATTTTACATATAGCGATATATTATATAATACAATATATATTATATTATAATATATATAATATATATATTACCACTCGGCATTTTATATATAGTCAAGTACAACAAGACGATGATTTAAAATAATCAAGAGAGCATCAACATCACTCGTGCATAATTGCACTGGAAACTTCACTGCGCAATCTATGTAAATTTATTCCTGTTTATAGCAATAAAAGACGTAGAATCCAAGTATGCTAAGTGTAGACAAGTCGATGGTGAAGCAAGCGTACCTGAGACAAAGCTGCTGGCGTGTCTTCGGTGCAGTAGGAGTGCAGTGTGTCGCCGGCCACGCTTTCGTTCTGTCGGCACAGTAACATCTTAAACTATAAGCCAAGCTAGAGCAACTCTACATTTCATCTAGAACATCTTTGTAATATAAAAAATGTATTACTTATCAAGAAAATGATTACTGATAATTAACATCTTATTTATTTTTAATAACAATTGTTTTTGTACGATTTTTATAAGTACCATCAGAGCGACGTATATGAGGGAGTCACTATAAGCACCAGGTTGAAATTGAATACATGAATATAAACTGTTTTTACCACATTGGTTGCTACATTTGACTGAAAAATTCATTTTGTCGAAAAAATTTTACAAGAAGCCATGTTTGTAATTAGCCTTTAATGTGCATGGCAACTCTCCGACTCAATTATAATAATGCAATTACAAAATTTGAATTGAGTAAGAAAACTCTTCTTAAATATTTGTAATTCACATTTTTTATAAACGTTCAAAGGTACATTAAAATAACATAACAAACCTGTTGTCCCAGGTTGAGGGTGGTCGTAGTAACTTGCAAGTTGACAGTGTTGATGGGGATGTTGGAGACCCTGCTCACTCCCCAGGACTCATCCCCACTGCCACTAAGCCTGGGGGGAGGGGGTGGTGGAGGGATGGGGATGGGAGGTGCCCCGAGGGGAGTGCGAGGGGACTTGACGAAGGAGGAGCTGCGGCTGACCGCGCGCACCGGAGTCTTCGCGTCGCTCGAGCGTCTGTATGCAGACAAGCACTTCTTCAGTATAAAAACATTTTTAATCAAATACCACCTTGGATAAAATATATAGAAATAATACCTCCTTGGAAAAAATATGTAGAAATATAGAAAAATATATAGAAAAAATACCTCCTTGGAAAAAGTATGTAGAAACATAGAAAAATATATAGAAAAAAATACCTCCTTGGAAAAATATATAGAAATGTTCAGCCCTTGGAATAGGTGCCTTCTTGGAAAATATCTCGGCTGAATTGATATTAATTACGGAAAAAATGAAAACTAAACACGAGTTTTGAGGTTTCTTCATTACGGGAACGTATGCGAATGTTCAATCATGGCATAGTAACATAATATTTGATATATACATAATATTTACTATGTAATTTAATATTTATATAAACTTAATAATATTTAAATATCCGCGTTTAAATACAGCGGATCGTCTTGTAGTGTAAGCAAGCATTAGCAATGATACTTTGAAAAATAGTTCGATTAAAAATATTATAGGCTCAAAGCATACGAAATCAGCTATGGTTCCAGCACATGACCAACAAATTACATGACAAATTGCATCGCCCATATTAAGGTTCAATATAATAGTCCGCTAAACTAAAGAGAAAAAAATAAGAGATATTAAATTAACAGAATGAAATATAAATAATTGCACGCCTGACAAACCAAAACAAAGCTCACTGCTGCACTGCAAGAAAGAAATGAGTGCCGAGTTATTCACAAGGCAGTTAACGATGTTGTTTTGAGCCTCCGTCCGTGACGCGCAATACCACGCACGAATAACCTTCACTACTGCGATGCGTCAACATATAAACAACGATCGTTTAACTGCAATAATAACACTATTACTTTGAATTTCGATGAAACAAAAAAAAAATACACCTGCACAAGACAATAGTTTCTTAAACCTAACCGAAAAGACCAAACTTGTAAATCGCTATCAGGAAAAATAATTAATAATTAATTAATTAAAATAATAAGCCCTGCCATTTAAAGGAAGCACTAAGAGAAAAAGAAGTAAATAAAAAATAGAGTCTTAGGAAAACAAATTTGACAATAAATACCTACTGAGAAAAAAAGATTCGCATCTTAAAGAAGACATCTATAGATTTGAAACACACATATACTTGCAGCAATGCTGAACCGATTTCAGATACAGGTTGCATTTCCGCAATATAATAAAAAAGTAAATTCTTTCTGAAACGGGCATGAAATAATGAACTCCCACAAAGCAACAAACTGAGTATATAAGCAATTAATACGACCAAAAATGTAATAAAATATCTTCATAGATTCGATCATACAGAATTCAATTTCATATGACTGAAATATTCATTAACAAAGTCATGAATAAGGAGATTCACGAGCAAAATAGTATCAAACGTGAATTATGAATGCTATTCATGCAGAAATGTTCAATGGAAATTGATAAACGACGAGGCGGGTAGCAGAGTCTAAACATTACTCAAAAATTAGGCTGTATATGAAGCATCTCTGCATCGGAACGCCGATCGGATACGTTCGTGCAGCGACGCTGAGCATTGTCAGTCAAACGAGAAGCCTTGTGTTAGCAGCTTTTTCGATGACGGCGATGATTGATTAGCTTCTCGATCACGGCGTTGATTGATTAGCTTCTCGATTACGGCGATGATTGATTAGCTTCTCGATTACGGCGATGATTGATTAGCTTCTCGATTACGGCGATGATTGATTAGCTGCTCGATCATGGCGATGATTGAATAGCTTCACGATCATGGCGATGATTGATTAGCTTCTCGATCACGGCGATGATTGAATAGCTTCTCGATCACGGCGATGATTGAATAGCTTCTCGATCATGGCGATGATTGATAAGCTTCTCGATCACGGCGATGATTGATCTGCACGTGCATTATACAAACATACAATAGAAAACTAAGCAATACTTTCGTTTCAGTGCATAGAAATTCTTCCCTTCGGTCAGCAACGCATAGCGCTCCAATTAATAGAAAATTCAAATTTATTTACCAATTTAGTTGATAAACGCGCCGAGTACGTACACGAGCGAATGTAATAATTTCCATCGTGCCGCACCGAAAAAGGTCAACTATTTGCAGTGAATTTATAATATGTACTCGACTAAATTATTCAGGCAAGATTCGTTGTTCCCTTTAATACGACTTATTGCCACCGGGCCCAATTCAACTGAACGCCACCGGACGCAAGGGTTGAAACGCTTTGAAATGAGCCCATCACCTGGATTGTTCGAAGTAAATAAGTGATCCCAAAGACTGACCTAAAATGCCGTAATGATTGAACGATGACTTAACCAGCACTCAGACCCGGCAGCGTTGTTCGTATGGCAGATGCTAACGCAAGACCGCAGCACGCGCCTGAGGGGAGACCGCGGTCGCTCTACAGCGCTGTGGTCTATATATCGGCCAATCTAAACTGACAGCCATAACTGCTGACAATTGCTAGTCTATTGAAATACACAGATATACTACGGAACCACCGAAATGCTCGCTGACTGCAGGACGAGTTCCATTTTTCACAGCGCAGTGATATTCCTTTGGAATATATACATCAACACCATCGTAAGTCTAGCTGGTTAGTTGAACTCGAATTTGGGTTGGGCAAGTTTACAACGGATTTAATTATCCAGGCGTCGGTTTTCCTCAGCGCCAAGCTTCTCAGACGCATATTAATATTATGCACGACTGTATAAAAAAAAATTTTTCAGTATTTTCCCAATATATTTTGAAGAAACGGACTTTGAAATCTTTACCAAAATTTGGGGCTTCTATACTATTGTCCATGCCCAAAAATTGTCAGGCTTGTCTTGCCTTTTGTTATAACTAGAAAGCTAAATTATGCAAAATTAAAAAAACACAAGTAGAACCAACATTTTAAATTAATACAAAATTTGAACTCACTGTAAAAAAGCGTTTAGTAGGGCTGACATAAAATAAATAATTTTAAATAATTGGTTAAGTTTATCTCTCTAGCAATGATGATAAAAATTGCTAAAACAGCACCCAAGAATTTAGACAAAATTGCAAAACTCTCTTAATGGATTTTGACATGAAGGAGATATCTGGGTTACATTTTTTATTTCATTGCATTATAATAGCTGCTGAGTGACTATAGAACAATGTGGGGAGTTTAGTAATATATAGATAATTTTTTGATAGGCGGAACTTTCTTTTGCCTGAAAGTGGCATGCGTTGTTTTTGGAGTCCGGGATTATTATTGTTTTAAATCAATTAAGAACAATTTAAGAAACATGAATTAAAAAACTGGAATTCCCCGTTCCCATTTATTCACATCGTAAATAAAAAAAATGGATACCAGTAAATGTGCGTTCTCATTGTTCAATCCCTGCCAAGCCTGGAGCGGGCCTAACACCCGTATAGTTCATCATCTACTTGACGTACATTTATGACGGGGAAAAAATTACAACGGTGGTAAAGTAATACTTTGCAGTATGGGCGCGTAAGCAATAAGTAATATTAACGCGACTGAGAGGGCCATGACAACTCACAAAAGTGAGTGTAAGGCACCACTCGAGCGACTGAGTGGGCCATGACAACTCACAAGTGAGTGTAAGGCACCACTCGAGCGACTGAGTGGGCCGTGGCAACTCACAAAAGTAAGTGTAAGGCACCACTCGAGCGACTGAGTGGACCATGGCAACTCACAAAAGTAAGTGTAAGGCACCACTCGAGCGACTGAGTGGACCTGTAAGGCACCACTCGAGCGACTGAGTGGGCCGTGGCAACTCACAAAAGTGAGTGTAAGGCACCACTCCAGCGACTGAGTGGGCCGTGGCAACTCACAAAAGTGAGTGTAAGGCGCCACTCAACAAGAAGCAGACAGGCAAGCAGACGTAGCGCTTATCCGCCTCCATTACTAGCAGCCGCTGAGCAAAACTACCCAGAAAATAAATTTTATGCGACGTCTCGTAACCCTTGTTAGCTTCGTCTCACTAGGACCAACGATAATTCAATTTACAATCTTGAACCAAATTTGTTGAAAGAACAATTTCAAATTCTTATCTACGCATAATAGTACAGAGACGAATGGGTCTCATTCCAGTTCATCAATGCATATACGAGTTGGATCAGCCAAAGGAACGAATTATAAAATGCCAAAGTGTAAAAGTTGAGTGTCATAGATTTAGTTTTTGTATACTCCCGAAATGATAAAAAAATTCCCGAAACGGATTCCTGTTCAATCAAAAATCAAAATTTACGTGTTTTATAAATTGCAATATTCTTTTTGAATGCATTATGAATGAAGCGTGACAATACCTCTAGTAACATTGTACTGAATAAAGATTGAATGACTCAGTCGCACAGTGCGCCAGCACATAAATATTCAATATTCAAACATTTATACATGTCACGTGGATGTAAACACACCTAGCAATTAATTTCAATCATAAATTACAGGTTTGAAAAGTCCAAACGGCAGCCGTGTGAATCACCGAATGCATAAAACGACAGTAAATCGTAACGGGCGCACAAAAACCTACCGTTAGCAAAGTTCCTTTGCGGATCGCCACACCGGAACGCAACACTCACAGGAAGGAACAAAGTCCCGACGTCCGCACTTGCGTAAACTCTGCTGCCGACTAACTTCAGTGACTTGGAATCACTCGGTCCTGCCGCGCAGAAAGCGTAAACTACCACCAACGCACCGTCAATTTGTCGTTTTTTTTTTTTCTGGCAGAAATTACTTGGTTGACGGCGAAATACGCAATGTTCACGGCAAATGTACTTGGTTCACGGCAAAATACGCGGAAGTGAGAAAAATTTTGTTTCGTTAATTAACATTCATTTGCCCTCGCTACTGCCCTCACATGACTGGGAGAAGATCAATAAAATCGGCCATTTCTACACTTCATTGTTTCTATAGAACATCGTAATTAAATTATAGAGCAAAATAGTTTTTTCATTTTTTGACAGATAACTATGCTATAAATCTTTCATAACAATAGATAATAGAGGGTCAGAAGAGAGATCATTGCACGAGGGCTGCATAGAATCAAAATGTGCGTTGAGAGGGTGGTTACGAGAATCGGTGTAACTTTATCGCTTTACTTTAGTCGTGGACTGAGACTTCTACTGAGAGTGAAACATCATTTTAAATTAATGTAAATTTCTTAAAAATATCAAAAATATATAGTTCGTATTATTAAAGGAAGAACAGTGAGCCACAGCTTCGCAGACGAGAGCAGAGAACTGCACCGCAATGCAAACGCTCACACAACTGTCGAATAAGGATTTAAACGTCCATAGAATGTGACGAGGCGGATTCGATGATTCTGCACGTTAATCGTGCGTTACTCCTTCATTGCATAACCATAACAAATCAATACTGGTAAATTTGAGCACTGTTCACCGTATCATGATGGCCTGTATGATGAAATCCTAACTCTCATATAAATGTTCGTATAATCCTGCAAATTTCTATGCCATGCTGTCCAGGCCAGTAATAACTATATTTCAAATAATATTCCTTCCTATTATAAAAATCAAAGGCGCATGCAGAGATGCACAAAACGGCGTTGAAGAGAGCACGATGGCTGATGCAGAAGCCACACAAAGTTATTCTTAGCTCCCTACAACGATGACAAAAACGCTCCGGAAATGCAACGTACGCTTCACTGCAAGCAATGCGCAGTCAGCAGCAGTTAAATGTTTAAGCTTTCTTTGCAGCGCCAGCAAACATTGACTAATGCTATGGACTGGGTTGATATTTTAAACAATAACAACAAAAAAAAAACATAACTCGAGCTGCGTTTTCATAAATAATTAGGCTATCCAGAATGAAAATAAAATAAACATACTTCGCAATTTTGCCAATCTCGTTGAAGGCTTTTGCGTCAAAGCAGAATAAAGCTATAACCAACCAACAATGAAGTAAAAATAGAAGTTCATGTGTACGCATAAGCTTAAGTCGCTCGATTCTTGTTAAAAAGACGAGATATTTTCACAACACAAGCAATAAAGCTTACGATTAAGGCGCTAGGCGCGCGCGACGCACGAGATAAACTCCTTAGAATAAAGGCGATAGCGATCGATGATAACCACGAAATCGACGATAACCACAAAATCTTATCAATAAAAAACGGGAAATAGTATCTAAAAAAATTACAACAATGCTGAAATCGAAGGAGAAATAGGTGATTGGCTTTCTATGCTGCAAGCAATAGCCCTTACATGTTGCAATCGATAGATACAACAATGTATCTAACATGCATTATCTCTTTCATCCGTCACTATATATATTATATCTGCTTTCTACGATAACAATCTAGAATATAAATTATAACGCAAAAGCTCTGTTTTAGGCCATCCATCAAATGGCGCCAAGACATAAACTTTTCACCTACAAAATACGCGCAACTCTTCCGTATAAAATTAATTAATAAACTAGAGGAAAAGCCTTACATGCAACGTTTACTGAAGAATAAAATTCAATAAGTTGAAACGTTGAATAAGTCTAATTCAAATCATTTAGTCCAACATGTTATATTTACTGAAGAATCAAATTCAAGAAGCACGGCGATGTAATGTTAAAAATTGTAGAGTTCAAATCATTTAAAAACTTAATAATACGTTAGTCGCAAGGAGAGACGAGTTATGTCAAGTATGCAAAGAGTGTATAAATATACGATAAACATTAGACATGAAGCTAAATCTTCTAATGTCAAGTATGCAAAGAGTGTATAAATATATGATAAACATTAGACATGAAGCTAAATGTTCTGATGTCGTTCAAGCAAAGAGTGTGATTGATGAATAGAAGATGAACATTAGAGATGAAGCTAAGGTACTAATGGTAAATGCAAGAATTACATACACAAGGTTCTGATGTAATTCAAGACAAGAGTGTGACGGATGAATAGATGATGAACATTAGAGATGAAGCTAAGGTAATGGTGAATGAATGAATGAATTGTGGATGAGTGAAGCTAAAGTAGAATATATATTAAGACTACGGTAATGAAAAAATGCTTAAATAGGATGATATAAAAAAGAAAATGTGATAAGAGGAATACGGAATGATAACATGATATGTTGAAGGAATCTAATATATAATGAAACGAAAGCAATTAGGCAAAATTCACAATACTGTAACAGCAGAAACGTGAGAGTGGAACACAAAGCGCATGTGGTTCTCATACAAAATCAACTTGTATAAGTAAATAGCATACACCATTAATATGTAGTTCGCACGATTGCAACATCTAGCCTGGACTCAGGAAACAGTGTCGCCTCACTACCATTTGTATTGATAGCTAATACCCGTATTTATATTGATACCATTTGTATTGATTGCTATTAAATATTCAATAGATGCTTCTTTTGATATTAAATATTCAATACATGATTGTTTTGATATTAAATATTCAATAGATGATTCTTTTGATATTAAATATTCAATAGATGATTCTTTTGATATTAAATATTCAATAGATGATTCTTTTGATATTAAACATTCAATAGATGATTCTTTCGATATTAAATATTCAATATATGCTTGTTTTGATATTAAACATTCAATAGATGCTTCTTTTGATATTAAATATTCAATAGATGCTTCTTTTGATATTAAATATTCAATAGAATGCTTCTTTTGATATTATATAATCAATAGATGATTGTTTTGATATTAAATATTCAATATATGCTTGTTTTGATATTAAATATTAAAAAGAATGTTTCTTTTGATATTAAATATTCAAAAGAATGTTTCTTTTGATATTAAATATACAATATATGATTATTTTGAAGATTGTCAGCTCACCTGTCCCAGACACTGTGGCCGCGGTATGGACGACGTACGCGGCGTAACGCTTTTACTTGCGTTATTTCTAGCACCAGTGCTGGAATTGTTGAGTTTTGTGCTGGTATTGAGGTTGTTGAAAGTGCTTGTGTTGGTGCTGGTGTTGTTGCAAGTGCTTGTGTTGGTGCTGGTGTTGTTGCTGCTGTCTTTGCCATCGCCTCTCGCTCGGCTGGTAGCGAAGGGAGGTTGGGATGAGATGATACTGTCGTCTAGGGTGAGGGAAGACAGGGATGTACCCCGTGACAGGTGACAGGGAGTGCCTTCCTCACGGAACTGTCGCGGGGAGTCGTTGAAAACTCCCAGCGAATTGTTCACTTGGTCTGCATATGAATAAACAACTTGAATTAACGAACGTCCTTTCAGAAAATAAACGTCAATAATCAAACAACTTGAATTAACGTACGTTTATAGAATTAACATCAAATTAAACAACTTGAATTAACGTCCGTTTAGAAAATAAAAGTCAAAATAAACAACTTGAATTAACGTCCTTTCAGAAAATAAATACCAATTATTAAACGATTGTACTTCTTTTTATACTTCGAAATAAACAACTTGAATTAGCGTCACTTTAGAAAATAAATATCAATTAATTATCAAACGACTGTTCTACCTCTTTTATTTCGAAAAGAAGATCATCTTCATCAACTTAAAAGCTAATAATAAATAGATAAACAATTGCGAGCCTTCATCAGTGCTGCTCAAGATGATACTTTTCATTACTGAATATATAATTATAATACATAATTCTAATAATTAAACTGACGATGGAGCTGGTCTCCGAAACGTTTTCTTTAAAGATAGTATGAATTTTTGTGGAGTTTTATTTGCTTTTAAGTTTTTATTGAATTTGCGATTCAAGCGAACGAGTGACATTATTACTTATAATTAGCATGTAACATAATTCTATACTAATAATATATACTAATACTAATCAAAATAATTATCAAATGCCTAGCCATAGAGGCAGCTATATAGATCAACAGTTTCGGAATGAACTCAAGGATATAAATATGTTTAGGAAGGCAATGGGTGATGGGAGGCATTGGGTGACGTACTTGTATGTGTGGGTGGGCGGTGGGTGAGGGTGCGGGGGCTGGGGGGCATCGTCTGGCTGGGGGAGTCCGGGAGGTCGCTGGGAGACACGGCACCGCTCGCCAGGCGACTGTAACATGTAATTTACTTATCCGTTATTATGTGTTAACCATTATTATTTATTCAATAATTATTTATTAACTCATCATTAAACTATAATCGGCCGATAGGCAACAAGAAAAAATAGTCAGGTTTAAAAAATATTTGCGCTTTCTTTCTATGGCGGTTGATTTGGCGAACTCTATGGCGCTTGATCTGAATTTGAACTATTTGAGTGATTGAACTTTGAATTTGAGCCATTTGAATCATTTGCTTTTGAAATGGGACCATTTGAATAATTGGACTTTGACTTTTAACTATTCAAATTGGATTCCTGTGAGCATATTTGCATGCCCCGAAAATAACACAACCCACACACCTGAACTCTGACACATCTCTGCCAAATATTATGTCCGAGTCCGAGATTGTGAACATTTTTTAAATATATCTCTTTTAAATAAACACGACCCAGACACCTGAACTCAGACAGGACGGAGCCAGCGTCGTCGAGGTGCTGGGGCAGCGGTGCAGGGCAGCTGCTCAGCGACCCCAGCGACGTCGTGCGTGAGAACATCAGCGGCGTCGCGCCTGCTGACCAGTCTGTCGTCACAACAAATTAATATCTTTCATTTTCTTATATGTATTATTATGGTAACATATTTAAACCAATTCAAATTCAATTACTTCATGTCTGTCGTAACAACAATCAATGTATATTGTTTTATAATAATACCGAGGTGACTTATTCATAGCAGTTCAAATTTAATTACGTTATGTCTGCGTCGTAACAAGAATCAATGTATATTCGGTTCTAATATTACCGAGGTAACTAATTCATACCAATTCAAATTCAATTACGTTTTGTCTGTCGTAACAACCAAAATATCTTTCATTTTCTTATATTCTTGAGGTGACTTAGTCATACCAATTCAATTACTTCAATTCTGCTTCGTAACAACAATCAATGTATATTCTTTTCTTATATTGCTCAGGTGACTTATTCATACCAATTCAAATTCAATTAATCCTATTCTACTTGCGGGTGTAAGGACCAATTTCTAATTGTGAATAAGGTAAAGTTTTCGCCTTATTACGCTTGTCCTGCTCACCTCTGACCATGCAAATAATAATGTGAGTTAATGTGAGTTTATTTATCCTACGCGTGATTATCCAATGTCAACAAATCTTGTTACTCCTATGTCATGCTACTCTGAATCTTTCTTGGCATCTTACAAGTGGATCCATGGACTAGGCTCTGCCTAATATAATCTATAATCTGATTGAAATTCGAAGAATTCAAGCTTGAGAGCATATTTTGAACCAAATGTTCGGACGATCAAAATTCTCAACTATCAGTCTAGTCTATATACTATATATTTAATTAGCCGTAGTTTATGTCTAGAATAGCCTTTTTGGTCACTTCTGGTCTGTAAATCAACAGTAACTGACCTTGACTGAGTAGGTTTTACAGCGTATGTATTTTCTTGTAATCTTGACTGTACTAATCACTGATTTATCTGTGTTCTAGAATTTTCGAACTGACGATGGAGCTGGACTCCGAAACGTTTTCTTTAAAGATACTATGAATTTTTGTGGAGTTTTCTTTGCTTATAAGTTATTAGTTTAATTAACTGACCTTGTTCATGGTGATTATGAGGACTGACGATGGAGTTGGACTCCGAAACGTTTTCTTTAAAGATACTATGACTTTTTGTGGAGTTTTCTTTGCTTTTAAGTTTATAGTTTATTTAACAGACCTTGTTCATGGTGCATATGAGGTGCAGGCGTGTCAGCAGCAGAGTGCTGAGGCGAGGCCTGCTGAGCGGCCTTGGCAGCGGCCGCCGCCACGCGCTCGCCCTCCGCCAGCACCAACTCCTGCAGGTCCGAGTCTTCCTCCAGCTCCCTGCACACAAATTATATTCTATATTACAACAATATTTAAAAAAAAAACTAAGCTCCCTGCACACAAATTAACTTCTACATTACCACTACATTGAAGAATAACTAAACACTTATTAAAAGGTGGAAGAGTACTAAGAAGACTCAGGATTTCTATTTCTAAAGCTAAGTTGCTTCGTGGATGTAGGCCTAACCATTGTACATTACAGCGACATTAAAGAATGACTAAACACTTATTTTAAGGTGGAAAAGTAATAGGAACAATCAATATTTCTATTTTATGCTAAGTTCCTTCCTGGATGTAGGCCTAACCATTGTACATTACAGCTACATTAAGGAATAACTAAACACTTATTAAAAGGTGGAAGAAAACTAGACTACTAGGAACACTAAATATTTCTATTTAATGCTAAGTCCCTTCGTGCATTTAGGCCCAGTCAACAATGGTCATATTTCGTCTAGTAAACCAAGAGCAAGTGATCACTTTCATGAACCTGTTAAGTAAAGTGGTTCAAAGTCATCACGTGACTGATGATGTCTCAGTCCCACTTAATATAACAATACAATAGTGACCAGGGGGCCATACTTTCAAAAATCGCTAAGTGAACGTAAGTATATACGCTCTATTTTCTTGTCCATGATTGGTGGATTTTGCTTGAAAGGCCGTCAATGATTGGTTCATGAACATACGATCTCTTACCGTTTTAGCGCATTTTCTCATTTATGGAAAAAATGCGCTATTGTGCTCGCCATGTCCGTCTGTCTGTCTGTCCGTCCGTCTGTCCGTGACCTCAAGTTTTCGTCGACGAGAAAATGTGCTCTCTGTCACTCACTGCAGTGAGTACTGAGTTATATTTTTTGAAAGTATAGGCCCGGGTCCCAGGACTCACTCTTCGTGGACGGCACTGATCTCGCCGCTCGAGATGGACGACATGGACGAGAAGCGCGACAAGCGGCCGTCCTCGATGGCAGCGTCGTCCTCCTTGTCGCCCTGCACGCAACACGTCTGTCATAAACAACTCACACTATATTTTATAAGTACTTATATTATCAGTCTGCTTATATCGCAAGTTCACAAGGATTTTAAAAGCAAAAAAAATTTCTTTGCTTTTAAATTCCTTGTGAACTACATTTATGTAATATAATCAATCAGTTCCGCAAAAATATGTTGATATGGCAGAGCACGTACATCCGAGTCCCGAGATGATCAAGAATGAATACAGAAAACATATGTCAAGTCTACAAAAATTATGGATCCAAGTTATAAACAATTTGAGCCAAGTTACAAAAAATACAAAGGCACAGCTCTTACGACTGTGAATGATACTCATCAGAATACTAGTGGATTTGTTAAGAACAAGAAGAACGTGAATGGAACTCCTAAGAACGTGATAGAACTCCTGAAACGCGAATAGAACTCCTAAGAACGTGATAGAACTCCTGAAACGCGAATAGAACTCATAAGAACGTGAATAGAACTCCAGAAACGCGAATAGAACTCCTAAGAACTAGGGTAAAATTCCTAAAAAACGCGGAGGTACGGTTTTTTCATAAAAATCCGAAAAATGTATATACTTTCATTTGAAGTAATATCCATAGTATTGACCTCCTCCTCCTCGACGTCGACCTCCTGCTGGGTATCGAGCCTCGAGTCCCTCACGCCCGGCTGCTCCCTGAGGTCAGTGAGGGACGTGGCAGTCGAGAAGTTCAGCGGAGTTCCCTCAGTGAAGTAAGTCTGCACTGAGTCTGCTGCGCCTAGGAACTCTTCTTCTTCATCGTCATCGTTGGCGCTGCCGCTTCTCATTTGCTTCTTCTGAGGTCTGTTCTTGTTAGCCTCGTCTTCTTCAGGATATCTGGCGAGAAAAGCAGATTAAAAACTTGTCAATTTCCCCAGTTTTGTCATACTTCAATATTCTTTTGCGGAGAACTAAAGCACTGTTGTGTCTTGTCAATTTGCCCAGTTTTTTCAGACTCTAATATTCTTTTCCGGAGACTTGAAGCACTGTTGTGAAAGATTTGCATTATTATTAGAAAATGCGATAGATTGTTATGAGGATTGAGAACGAAAAAAAAAAACGTCGTAGAATGCATGTGTGAATCCAAATACTAATTAAAAAAACAAAGATTACTTACGTCAAACTTATCTAAATCTATCCTTGAAGTTATCACACATTTCAAAATTGTAAAACTTTTCAAATGACTGTAGCTGTTGAACTTAATTATAATGAAGATTTTCTCCACAGACAATATTAACGGATCTTGCACTCACCGCAAACTGAAATCCGTTGGTTGTCCGTCATTTTCATTGCTTGCCGTCGGGTCAGTGACGTAATTATCAACTTTAACGGCAGGTCGGCGAGATCCATTCGTCAAGTTTGACGAAGATCCTCCTCGATCTTCGTCTTCTGAAGATCTAGATTCATTGGGCCCGTGCGCCTTGCCATTTTTGGAGTCTTTCCTGGCTGAACCTCTATTGGGGTTGACGTATTTGTTGTACAGGTTGTATAAGGGATCGGACGGATGTAGGGCTCCTTTGACGCTATTAGTCCCGGAGCTGATGCGTTCAGAGGAAGAACCTGGCGCAGCTCCGTCCATTTTGGCAACATTATTTTCCCCGCTATGAGAGTTGACGTTTTTAAGCGCTAATTCAATAGGTCGGTGTCCGTTACACGAGCCGTCTACCTGCTGCTGCTGACGTGACAACAAATGCTGCATGCGGTCATGCGTGTTATCGGATTGCGTCGAATGGTTAGACTGGACAGAGTCGGACATACCCAATGGATTACCGTAGCGTGGGTCTAGTGAATGGAACATAGGACGTCCATTAAAGCCGTCCGCAGCGAAGAACCCTCCATTATCTGTAGTAGGACTCGCCCTCGGCGAAGACTCGATATTATCACAGGTCTCGGCAAGGGTGGGATCAAGTTCTTGTTCGAGAGCCCGTTGTCGCCTCGCATGCAGCGTCGGGAGTCGGGCGCCGTGCTCGCTATCGCCGATATTGATGCCCTCGGGCTTGGCTTGCAAGAGATTCTTGAGGGCTGCACTGGATCCCATCGATATCATCTTGTGTTTGGAATTGATGAGGGAGCGCAACATGGGTACAGCCCCAAGCTCCCACAAAGTCTGCTGGTCCCGAGGGCACCGCGCCGACAAGTTCCAGAGAGTCCCGCATGCGTTGCTTACGACCGTCAGGCTCGGTGAGCGCAACTGGCTTAGGATGACGCGGAGGGTGTCGTGGTCCCGCAAAACTTGCCTGCACATCGACAAATGTATACGTGAGCGAACACTAGAAAATTACACAGCTTGAAAGTGAACACATAACAAGAAGTAAAAGAAACGACTCAGATGAAAGGAGCATTCGCATACGTGTTGATTACTTTCTTTTGATATAAATTATGGGGAATTTAACTGATGAACAGTGTCTCACAAGCATAGCCTAATTTACCAAAAAACTTATTTATCTTCACAACAATCAGTGACACAAAACTTTATCGGCATCTAGTGACGCTCAACTCTTTATACCTTCCTACGTCATGGATCATAAGACGCCTATGTCCAGATATTATGAACAGCTCTGCCGATTTCTTTAGTAGTGGCCAATTTAAAGATAAATCAACTTTTTATTTTCTGAATGATATTTTGACGCAAACATAAACGCTACATTTGTTTGAGACAATTACAAAAAAAATCAGTTATGATTCAAAACCAGGACAATCATTCCCTATTTCAGCTAGGAATAGCAAAAAGTTTATTCCCGGGAAGAGCAAGATGTTATACCTGAGGTCTTCCCGCACGGCGACATGGCTGGAGATGTTGCGTAAGATACCACCCGCGTTCTCGACGATGGCAAGCGTGCGTGACTGGCTTTTGTATGTAAGTGACGTACAGATGAAGGCAAGTGCTCCATCTACAGCACATATCTCGGCCTTATTAACAGAGCAGTGCGCCGACAGGTTCCATACGGCAGAGAGGATAACTTTAAGTGTGGCCTCCTTGGTGGCGGTAAGGGCGGCACGCATCAGTCCTGCCACAGCCCCTGCCTCGCGCAGGGCCTGCTTGCTGCCGCTGTCCGCGCGCCACGACAAGTTACGGATCACTGATGACGTCACCTGAATAATACGTCAAACTTATAGCACGGAATTACAATTAGCAGTGAATATAAACACAGCATGTACAATTTCCGATGAAGTCAGTACTAAAAGATGTTAAAATATTAAAATTTTAGGCTATCTGCATCCTAAATCAAGTCCAATGTGAACGTCGAAAAACTATATTTTTTAATTTAAAATTTTTTAGATCATCCGAGGCGGTCTCCCAAGATAATAATTTTAGTCAATAGGAGAAACTCACGTAAAAGTGACTGAAAATAACTCGTAGCTCATAAGAGGTGAAAAATTTAAAAAGTTGGGAGAAAATTTTCATGTTATAAATTTTCAAAGCTCGTTTTCAATTTTATAGCTAGCATTTGGATTACAATCTTAAAATAAATGTATAAAATTTATGCAAGGATCCGTGTAAAAATAAAAATGTAAGTAACAATTGAATAATAAATACAATTGAATTGAAAAATTGAATTAATCAATACAATAAACAATATGAATTGAAATATAATAATTGAAAGTTACAAAAAATTGAAAAGTAGCAAGGTAATGCATAAAAAATTTTATATTGGCATAAGAGTAAGCGAGTTCTGACTTGTCTGAGGTCCTGGCTGGGTGAGCTGAGCTGCGCCACGAGCGCGCGCAGGAAGGACGAGAAGGAACAGACAAGCGCCTTGTTGCTGCCTGCACCGAACGTCAGGTTCGTGAGCGCCATACCCGCGTACCTGCAACGTCAACCACGTGTAAATCAGGGGATACACTTCCATATAGTTATTAGTCAGTAACTTTGTAAGCCAGCGCCGTGCAAATCAGGGGATACACTTCCATATAGTTATTAGTCCGTAATTTTGTAAGCCAGTAACGTGCAAATCAGGGGATACACTTCATAAATAGTTATTAGTCCGTAACTTTATAAACCAGTACCGTGCAAATCAGGGGATACACTTCATAAATAGTTATTAGTCCGTAACTTTGTAAGCCAGTACCGTGCAAATCAGGGGATATACTTCATAAATAGTTATTAGTCCGTAACTTTGTAAGCCAGTACCGTGCAAATTAGGGGTTACACTACATAATATAGTTATTAGTCCGTAACTTTATAAACCAGTACCGTGCAAATCAGGGGATACACTTCATATAGTTATTAGTCCGTAATTTTGTAAGCCAGTAACGTGCAAATCAAGGGATACACTTCCATATATTTATTAGTCCGTAACTTTGTAAGCCAGTACCGTGCAAATGAGGGGATATACTTCCATAAATAGTTATTAGTCCGTATATTCGTCAGCCAATCACTGATGGCGCCTAGAGCTAAACCTACCAATCACAAACAAGAACTCAGCTGCTACGTGCAATTAAGTGAGTTTTGATATTACGGCCCCCGATGAACGTACTGAAATCACAGGCAATATGAGAACGAAGCTTACGTCTAACTCTGTTCCGGCACTGACATGAGCTAATTTGATGTGTGAATTGTGAACACTATCACTAACTAAAGGGATATCATGACGGTTGTGGATATGGCATGAAGCCTATGGAAGGATATGGTTGATGAGATAATGACAAGATAAGGGATGGTATATCATATCATTCAGCCTGAGGGAATATCACGATTAATGAAGGAATATAGCCGCCGGAAAGGATGCATACCTGCGCAGTGTGATGCAGAAGTTATCGGGCGTGGTAGCGCCGTGTGCGTCGTGGTCTCTCTTGATGAGCTCGGCAATAGCGTGCAGTCCTCCCAGGGTGCACATGGCGAGCCGGTGCTCCTCGTCAAAAGAAAGCTTCATGACGGCTGCCATGGCAGGACATGGATGTCTGTCCATGTCATCCTCCAGCAACGGTCCCTGACCGGCACTCGTGCGTTCCAGACGCTCGTATAAGTAGTCGCAATACGCGCGGATTTGTTCCAGTAAACGCAATACCCTGGCTTCCCTTCTGCTCCTTTTCTCATCAGTGTTGGCATGCACGACGTTCTGCAGCGCTTGTGAGGCTCTAAGTCTCGTCTCACGAGACGGCACGTCGCTGCCGTCACCGCCGCCATGTAAGAGTTGTATCAGCAGAGGCAAACACCCGGACTGGCGCAGCGCCAGGCACGAGTCCGGTGAAGATGACATCGCCAGCAATGTCTTGCTCATCTCGGCGCGGTCACCTGAGGAGAACATGGACAGGAGGCCGTACACCATCTCCACTTTGTTGCTCAGGAGCTGTTGTTGGCTCTGGGCTCGTCGGCTGGTCACGCTTGACGTCGCCATGATGCCTGGAGGATCAATTTGTGTGCCGTTGGTGTGCGACAGGCCAACAGTCGCAGGACTCGAGTGCCATAAAGCTTTGTTAAAAGGCCACACGCCTCGCAATACGGCTTCTATGGCGGACGGCAATTTAGGTGCATCATCCTCGTTGCCATAATTTTCATCCCCATGTGTCCCGTTATGATCGCCATTTGGGTAACGTCCTCCATTGGCATCATCGTATGTGTGAGATTCACCACCGTTTTCGTATGCCAAGGAATGGCCTCTCTGATCGACACCAGAATCGAGACTGTCGGGCTCCATAGAAGAGACACGTTGTCTCTCGGCCAGTGTGCTGCTCGAGGAAGGTATGTCAGACACCTCGTCTGCTGTAGATACTCCACCGTCAAACATTGTGTTAGCATTCGCTATGTCCATACCAGTTGTATTCGTAGGGGCGTAGCGGCTTACATTAGAGGCCTGGCGAGCGTTTGACTGATATAATAGTTGCGAAGGTTGCGGTATTCGATCTTGCAATTGTTCGTACCAAGTCCCTGCAGCTGTACCGCAGCTGCTTGAAGACTTAGAAGAATAAGCTGGTTTGTTATCAGAACAATGCGCAGCCTCTGACAGACTCAAATTCTGAAGATAATTAGAACGAGATGTGATATACTCCGATGATTTTTTAGGAGACCTTCGTGAGTTCGGAACTTGGAATGTGGGCCCAAAAGGAGAAGGGCCGCTGACATCAAAGACACTACAAACGCTGCTGGTGAGTTCACCGCTTGTGGCTGATAAGTCCGAGTACCGAGTCCCAGACTGACGATTGTTGTCGAAATTACCTAGAAAGTTTTGGTAGCCGTCGGACGTTGTGAGTCTACTAAAGCCAGTGCTTTGCGAGTCTGTAGTGTTACAACGCACGGAACCGCGTCGGTCGGCGTAGCCGCGATCATACGCGTTCACCTCTGACTGGGACAGCTGGTGCTCAGCAACACCTGGTCTCTGGATGATGTCTGCTGGTGGCAAATGATTGAGCCGCTGGATGGTTTTCTCGATGGTGTTGATGGCATGCAGACGATGGTGGCGGCGACGTGAAGCTGAACATGGAGAACCAAGTCGATGTTGACCAGCTTCTCGCAGACGTCTCACCTCACCCTCCACACTCCGCGCCTCGGAGCTCTGCAAATAAATGAAACGTGAAAATCAAAAAAAATCAATAAATGACACGGTGAAAATCAATGGGAGAATTCCTTTCATTTTTTTTTATAAATCATTACTTTACAAATATATAACTCAGTACTCGCTGCAGTGAGTGACAGAGAGCGCATTTTCTCGTCGACGAAAACGTGAAGTCATGGACGGAAAGACAGACGGACGGACATGACGAGCACAATAGTGCATTTTTTTCATAAATGAGAAAATGCGCTAAAAATGTGAATTTTTCAAGTTATGGAATAAAATATCTAGAAAATACATCACCAGTAAAATTCATATCATGGGAACAGACACGAAAATTTAGAAAAAGAAGAAAATACGATCAGGTGAACCGGTCTTTCAAATATATTCATTAAATTTAATATTTATTTTTATGATAATAGTCAAAAATAATTATCTTAAATTATATGTAATAAGGCAGCCGCAATATTTTTTCTTGTTGATGTTGACTTTCTAGCTAACCGACAATACATCGACTCAAGTCAGTTCAGCATTAACTAGGCAGCAGAGAAAGGACCACGGTAGAGCGCGTTCAGATTGCATCACTACAAGAAGCTTTGCCAAATATTTTAACGCGGAACCTCTATTATTTGTTCATAGTTGCACGCATAAATTCTTCAGGGAGCCAGAAAGAACTTGCCTTCAAGCTCTAAATAAAATAAAAATATTTTGATTGAGACAGTGTAAAGAAACCGAAAAAGAAAAAGCACGAAATTTGTCAGGGTGTTTTTAAGCCGAATAATTTTTCTGTAAACAAGTACCCCGTTGACATTTTGCTCGTCTCAATTCCCAACATCAACACGTACGATCAGGAATTTCGCAACAGCCACCACCTTGTTATTCATAATAATGCTTATTCTTATCTAACGATTGAGTTATTTTAGTGATCATATCGCAAATGGAGGTCGAGCAAATTAATTATGTTTTGTGCAGAGACAGTGAGTACCGAAACTTTCGAAGTAGAAGATTAAACTACGCGAATTTAAATTATTGATTCGACCAACCTATCATATAATTACACGCGACGTTTTTCCAATTGTGCGACGAGACAAGCCAAGTCAAATTCCTTTTCGCAATAAAAATGGTCTCTTACTCGATGGAAAGTTATAGGTAAATATTCGGACAAAACTTGAGGTTCTGTTAACGAGTTAGAGCCGTCAATGCTTGCTGAGTGACAAGGGCTTGCACAAGCAAATTCTTCACTAAATACACAAAGACAATGATGATCAAAGTGACCAACGAGTCAAATTCTCTCTGATTAGATTATTAGTTTATGGGTATAAACTCCGCTTTTTTCTGGTTTAAGAAGGCCTGAGCGTTGTTGGACAAGTGCTTCGACGCTCCCTCTGCCAACCTCTCAAGTGTAAACACTGCACTAAGTGAACTGCATGATTGTTTTCTTCCGTAGTGTACACAGATTTTTATTTGAGGCGAGCACACAATGGTGAAAAACTATGACTAATTATCGATGGAGTGGTAGAGTATCGAGTGATAGTACGTACCAGTCTTCTTGTGCAACACTGAACAATTGCCTCCTGGCCATTAATGCAGTTGAATTAATGATATTCAATGCGTTATGCGTCAGTAAAAAACATCGATGATTAAGGTGATTATCCATTATTTTGTTTAAGGAAAATTATCAAATTCAATAGTCATTGTTGAGGCATGAATGAGTCGATAAGCCAATTAGGGAGAAAATTTTCGTTAAACCTCGCCAACATGAACAAGAAGAAGAGCGGGCAAGTTGGCAGCAAACCTTGTATGCACCGCTGCTCAACTAAGTCAAACTATTTGCAGTTAGTCTAGCTCATACTAGTACACACGAGAGGCTCATGACGAGCGTTTTGATGATGACAACCCTTTAAAAAATGAACGAACTCTAGTTACGTCACAACTGTGAGAATAGCCTAAGTCGGAGCACGCGCGTTCCTGGCATCTCTTCTTCTGTGAAGGAATAACGAACACCCCCGTCTAAAAATTAAACGAATTCACATGAACAAAATAATGATCATGAACTGAGGATAGCATATATATTTAAATATTTAATTTCTAACGCCGTCGTCTACACGGTATACAGCGGCCAGAGGACTCCAATCAAAACACAAAAAACTGTAATAAACTACTAATTCATCCGACGAATGAACGATGCAAAGATTAACATGTAAGAATTAATAGTGAACAGAAGGAATGCAGTTCCCTAAATCAGCACAGGCACGAGACTAAACGTCGAAAGAGCTAGAAAGTTACAACTCGCGCTAGGAGAACAAATGTCGCTAAGTCGTGAACTGCAGCGTGCGAGAAGTCGCTGATAGGCAGTGACTGCATGTCATGCCTGCTTAACGGCTATGGAGGTAACATCTTTTTAGCACGTCTGTCAGTTATACCAGCACGCGTCTGTCAGGTATACCAGCATCATGCACAGCCAACAACGCGTCTGTTAGTTATACCAGTACCAGGTACAGCCATCAGCACGTCTATCATGTACACCAGTACCAAGTACAGCCATCAGCACGTCTATCATGTACACCAGCGCCAGGTACAGTCACACGATGCACAGTGCACCGTCAGTTGGCGAGCGCATATCCGCGGCTGTGGCCAAGCCCCGCTGCCGCGCCCACGCCCGCTTCGTCGCGGATGCATTCATTAAACTTTGTGGGTACCGCGAAATACGTCACGACCGCGGATAGGCACATGAAGGAAGAAACGATGATACCGTATGTCGGAGACCGTATGTTGATACATTAAATTTTGCACTAATTTATTTATCGCAGACGATCGTTGAATTTTGTACCTTTTCGCTGAGCCTCATTTTTAATGGAATATAGGCTAGCCTTATAACAATTTCAAATATATCTGATCTAAAACCTTAAGTCAAAAACAAAGTTCAAGGCTAACTTATCCTGTCTCCAGTGCCTATTGCTGTTAATGAGCCGTTGCTGAAATTCAGGCTTTAACCCTCTACCGCCTGATATGAGTAACCGGAGCAATATTTTCACATGCCTATACTTCCCAAAAAGGATAGGTTCTGTTGAGCGCCAAGTGACTTGCACTGATGGTTGCCGCCACGTACGACAACTTTAAAATGTTCTCTGTTCTCTACTGCGTACAAACGTCCTCAGGTTGCTACACTCAATAGTTTACGTATAATTTAAGTTGAAAGTTTAACTTTAAAAGGTTCTCTGTTGCGTACAAACGTCCTCAGGTTGCTACACTCAATAGTTTACGTATAATTTAAATTGAAAGTTGTGTTTCCGGAGAGTGACATACGGCGGTGGGGGTTAAAACGAAACCCTATAGTCAACAAGGAGATATTTATACTGCATTATAAAGGAAATAAAGACTTGCAATAGATAAGTAGCAAGTAAATTAATTACCTGGACATAAGATTGACGCAGAGAAGGACCACCGACCGCTGGAATATTAGGTCTAAATCTTTTAAAATCTTCAACAGGGTCCACAAGAGACTGCGATCTATCAAGCTTCCGAGCGACTTGTTTTTGGGTCAATCTGGCAAGTTTGCTGTTTAAAAAATCGTCTTTGTTGGCTTTTTGAATGTTGAATGGAGTTGAGATGCACGCAGCACTGAGTGCAATGCACGAGGACGAAGGTTCACGAGGCGACGTTGCGTTGGCATGCAAACGTTGAACAGGAAAAGACCAGCCTCTTCTCGTTCCCATCCTGAGTCGTCTACGTTCCTCGGCCGAACTGGGATACATAGCGAGACAAGCAGGAGTCGACGTGTACACAGGATGATTAGGTCCTTCACTTTTCAATGTGTCGCTATATACTTCTGGTGGCTGCATGTTAGATGACGAAAGACGATTCTCAAGCGTCTCTCCAAAAACACTGCATATGCTAGAGGAAGTTTGTCCCAAGTCTGGGGAAGCTGTATTCTGACACAGTATAGTTTTCGCACTTGGTTCACGTACATTTCTACTGTCACTTGTGCACTTTTCGACTTCGTTCGTAGGGGGGAGTTTACATGGAGAATCAGTCATTATTTTACCCGAGTTGCACTCGCCGGGAATTTTAGAAGATACACTTAGTTCAAAATAAAGCGATGTAATTCTCTGCGGAGGGGTAGGACATGGGGATTCCGCGGGGGAGGGACACGGAATGGAGTAGACACTGTCAGGTACAGCGATTCCTTCGTTCGACACGTAGTAAATGCAGCCCCGTTGCATGTCGGCGATGGCGTCATCAGGTGTTAAAGTCTGAACGTGATTATTTTTATCAAGAGCGTGCGAACTCAGAGCGATGCTGAGATCACGAATGTTTTCATCAGTGAGAGTCCCTCTACTTTTTGATTTGATTTTCTTGCGGCGTATGGAAGTTTTTCTCGAAGAAGGATGCGATATGCAGATGGCATCAGCGATGGCATCGCAATCCATAGCTGGCCGAAGAAGCGTTTGCTGATCATCCTCACGATTTATGGGAAATAAGAGAGGCAGTGTCGGTGTTTCAGTTGCAGAATGAAAGTTTACCATCTCATACGTGTGACCAGCAAGACTGCTGCCCACACTCCGGACAGAGATGTTGTCGAACAGACTGACACCAGGAGGAGTGGGTGCTCTTCGAAGAGGAGGGCCCTCTTGCATCCAAGGCGGTACTTCCTTTTGAGGAGAAGTCGAAATTATGTGTTGAGAAGTTAAAGGTTCCACACGTGGACTGCTGGATAACCTTTTAGGTTTTGGCATCACTAATCTAAGCAGTGCTGCGCCAGCTCCAAAGGCCGAGTCGATAAATGAAGGTTCTTGCGATGGTGACGTTGAAATGATGTTCCGGGAGTAGGCATCTTGATCACGAAACGCTGGTCGTCCCTTTTTAGTGCTATGATCCATTTCAATAATACCATTACTTCGACTTGGCGGTTCACAATCGTGGCTAATACGGATTTTAGAAGTCTCTGAACTCCGATTGACATGGGAAGAAGTAGCTGCCGCTGGCGACTGTCTAACTTTAAT